AAAACCAGGGGACCGGGGAGATGGCTCAGTAGAATAAGTGCTTCCCTGATAAGCGCAAGGGCCAGAGTTCAATCCCCAGTTCCGCAAAAATAAATAAATAAATAAATAAAAATTAAAAACCATCAGTAGCCATGGGGATGTGGATCTTGGGCACAGACGAGAATCTTGAACTGTTTCCGGCCCACCTACCTCTCCCTTCCTGACCTGTCAGGACATCCTGCCTCAACTCCAGCTGCGGTGGGCTCTGCTGCCGGAACCCTCAAGCTTCTGTCACCGGAGGTTTTCTGCCATAATGGATCTCAGCCTAAATTGCCTTTTTTTTTCCCCCTTAGAAATTGTTTTATTTTTCATCAGCCTCATTCCCATTTTGCTGAAGCGTCGGCAGAACGGCTCAAGACCACTCGGTGGTGGTTCCTACCCACTCAGTGGCCTGCGTGGTGGAGGCTGCAGACCAATCTTCTGTGGCCGGCTGAGCACTCCAGTCTTCAGTAGGAAACTGCTGAATGGGCACAGAGGGCACCTGCACACCCTCGGACCAGTCTGCGACCTCATGCTGAACAGCAGTGAACTCCAGAGCTGGTGCAGTCCATTACCCTGAAATTCCTCCTTGGTCACAGCCTTTTCAGCAGCAGCCTGCTCTTCTTTTTCAATCTCTTCAGGATCCCAGTAGAAGTAGAGATCAGACATGACTTCCCACGGGTGTTCACAGGAGATGGTGCCACGCATGCGCAGCACTTCCTGGGCCACCATCCACATCAGACCCACAGAGTGAGCTCCCTTATTGTTGCACGGGATGGCAACGTCCACATAGCACAGAGAATCTGTTGCACAAAGCAGTGGTTGGCAGATTGACGTAAGTTGCCTCCGTTAGGGGCTGGTGGTCAGCCCTGGGGTCAGTAACCACCAGAAGACGTGGCTCTCAGAAGGCTGCCTGGATCTGGTTAGTGAAAGTTCCAGGAGTGAAGTGGTCAGCGATAGGAGTAGCTCCAGTGGCAGCAGCGCACTTCAGCACAGCCCGCTGGCCGGTGCTCCTGAAGGATATGACGCTGACGTCAGCAGGGTTTTCAATGGCCACTATGGTTCGAGCTGCAGGAGCTTCTCCCAAGTCTGCTTCAGATTTATGATATAGATTCCGTCACTTTTCCTTTTATAGATATACTGCTCCATCTGGAAATCCAGGTTGGTGCCGCCTAAGTGGGTTCCTGCAGCAAGGAACTTGAGGACGTCCTCCTCAATTTGCAGGACATCAAGGGCTCCAGACATTGAAGTTATGATGGGAATCAGGAATGCCGTATGGACTCTGCCGGGCAGCACGGAAAAGGCCTAAATTGCCTTTTTCTAAAAAGACAATGATTAGCCAGGTGGAGAGGGACTCATCTGTAATCCCAGCACTCAGGCGGCTGGGGCAGAAGAATCACAAGTTCAAGACCAGATTAGGAAACGTTTGAGGAATTATCTTTAAAAAAAAAAGTGACTGTCCCTGAACGTCAACCTCAGTTCAACAGTGTCTGGAACCTCACGGTTCACCATGAATTCCTGTGAATCATTTACTGTTTGGCCACAAAGGCAAACTATAAACTCCAATGAAGGTGACTAAGGTCTATGGTACTGTGCCTTACCCCTAGCACCTGTTAAGTGTCTGGGATTTAGCAGGTACATAATGAAAATTTACTAAGCGAATAAAGGGGGAGAGCAACATCCTGCTTTTCAGCTTGGGCCTAGGCTGTAATGGGCTGCTGAGTAACCTGTGGCTGGCCAGCGCCAGCTGAATGAGTTAGTCAAGGTAGTTCTGCTCACCCTTCAGAGCCACTCCTGAGGATTACACAGCCTTCCCCAGAGACGCACAACACAGCATTCCTGCCCATTCTCAATAGCCAGCCCTTTCCATGGCACCACTTCAGCGGGAATCTCTTCTCACCTATGAGTGGACACCCCACCCACAGCAACTGTCCAACCCTTCTTCTCAGCATCTCCCCTTCACATGTAAATCTGTCCTCGAGGCCCCATTTTAATCAAAATTGCAAACATATACCATGCACACCGCCACCAGCAAGCATGCCACACCTGGAGAACCGACTGCCTTCACCCATCCTGCGCAGTGCCAAGTACCTCTTCCTCTCACACAGGCACCTCACAGCCAGAACTGAAGACCTACTGGGTGTGTGGTGCACATCTGCAGACCCTGCTACTTCAGGCAGACAAAGATCACATAGGCCAGGGGTTTGAGGCCAATGAGCAAAAACAGCAAGAACCCAGCTCAACAAAAGAAACTAGTTCTGCTCCTACACCTGACTACACCTCTGCATTTGCGAGTGAGCAGAAAAGGCTGCAAACACTTGAGCCAAATCTAAGTCATCTGAAGTTTAGTCTGTCCCAGAGAATTCCACAAATGGACAACTTATTCCACCACACGGAGCAGCTCTAGGAAATAAACTAGCTTCCTAGTAAAGCCGTCAGCAGAGGGTATGATGCAAAGAAACAATTGCATTCACACACATGAATTAAAAGCTTCCTACCAAGTGAGACTTTTGGTATTCAGCACTTCAGGAAGGGACCCATGATTCATGTACCTCGTTGCCAGCAGCTCCAATTTGCATGGAGTCGCTCCCACAAGCTTGAACCACATGTGTAACTGTCCCATCTGGCAGCCTCTATCACTTTATTTTTTTTTTTTTAATATTTATTTATTTATTTGTTTATTTAGTGTGTGGCCAGCTCAGCCCACCAGGGGGCGGGCCTGGCTGGCATGTGGTGCTGGGGATTGAACCGCGGTCCCTGTGTTTTGCTTAGCTTAGCTTGTTCTAAGTAGGTGCTTTAGACCACTGAGCCATCTCACCAGCCCCGTGTATCACTTTAGAAGTCTCTGAGTACAATAATCAAAGAAAGGCATGGTTCTGCAGATCAGATCTCCTATCACACAGGTACTTAAGACACTACAGTGGTGTAATTGCTAACACAGCTAAGCTGTGGTACAGCAGTTACGAATGCATGTTATACAGACCACCAATGGCAATAAATGTAAGACTTGCATGTTAAAATTTAGGGAATTATTGATAAACTTCACAAATACAGATTTAACGACATAAATTTGATAAATGTAATATTTTAATTAGTATGAACAGTATTAATACTTATTTGGGTAGAAATTACCACATTCAAGCAACTCGAGTCAGTCCATTTAATTAGTAGGTGATTCGCCGCCGGGCCGTGCTGGCCCTGCTGGCCCTGCCCTCGGGGTGCACGGAGAAGGCGAGTGAGACTGGGTGCGGTGGCACGTGCCTCTACGTAGTAAAACCCTGTACTAAATACGTTACAAAAAAAAAAAAAGATAATCAAAAAAATTGTATTAGTAGAACAACCAATATAAGTGACTAGAAGGGCTGGCCAGACAGCTCAGCGGTTACATCCCCAATGTGCTATGCTGGCGGCCCCACCTCTGGGGCACACTGAGATGGTGACTGAGACTGAGCATGATGGCGCACACCTGTAATCCCAATGCTTGGGAGGCTGAAAACAGGAAGATCACTAGAGTCTGATCTGTGTAGTGAGACCCTGTAGACCCTGTACTGCATACATTAAAAAAAAAAAAAAGAAGTGATTAGAACTATGGGTACCACCGGCGGTTCAGGCCACCCAGTGGCAGTCAGGCCCCGCCCTGGTGGCTTGAAGGGCAGCAGTGTGTGAAGCCAGCCTGACAAGGGCAGCGTCAAGACCCCATGTCATGCTGTCTCCACAGCCAGCAGCGTACAGCTAGGAAAGACCAAGCCTTCATGCCAGTGGTTAAAAAGAAATCTTTATTTTACAAAATTAAAAACATAAATAATATTTACAACATCTTAAATACCAGCTTATAACATTTTTTATTTTTTATAACACATTTTTTAATCATTTCAAATTGAGTTTTCCATAGCTTTTAAAACATGAAACTATTCTTCCATTTTAGCAAGGTACCAGCTCTTATTTTCACCATTCAAAAAGGTTGGCTTTTCTATCCATCCTGCAGTCAAAGAAAACTGTGATTTTAAAATGACTAGTTCTAAAATCAAAGTCCTGCGTTTTCCACCCCAGCTGTGGGCTATCACCCCAAGATCTCTCTCAACCAATTCCTTTACTGCCCTGTGCACAAGTTTAAGAAGCCACACGGCCTGGTACTCCCGTTACCCATCCTCCTACCTCCTTGGGTCTGCTGAAAGGAAAAGCAGGGGAAAGGAAGAGGGAGAAACATGAGCATCTGAAATCACGTTTCTGAAACCAGAAATAAGGCCCCAAAATCTTGTCTTACTCATTTCCTTCAGATCAAATCCAGATTTCATTAGCTGAAAATTTACGACTTCAGATGATGCATAAATGACAGATCTCAGTGGCACAGTGGAACAGATGTCAAGATGTCAGCTAATCCGCTTGTCTAGCTTTAGCACCAGGTACTTCATTTCTATATAATAACACATAAGTAAAGACTACGAAGCATGAGAAAAGCCAACGTCTTCAAGAAGGGTCAGGTCAAGAAAAGGGTGGGGGGCGAGACTCAGAATCTACGAACCACTTCCCAAGAACGCCCTTTCCTCTGGAAACCTTCAGCTGAGAAGCCATCTTATCAGAGATTAGCAACAAATTTAAAAGAAAAAGAATGACAACAGATAAGAGTTATATACATTTTACTTGTTTGTTTCAGCCTTGTCCTGGATATTTAAAATAGTGTCAAAGGCGCTATGGATGCTGGTGACAGGAGGCGGCTGGACAGGAAATGTAGGGATGCGGAATGGGGCAGCCCTGCATACAAACTCAGAGACGACTCCGCTCTCTGGATCTAAAATGAGCACATCTTCAGCCTTCCCAGAACACACGTCTTCCTGCCACTCAGGCGCACCTGCGCTCAGGGAGGCCGGCGGCACAGCGCAGGAAGCGTCACTGCTGCATGTTGTTGATGACGGCCAGGATGCTCAGCTTCTCCTGGGCAGAGTCCGAGTCCTCACTCTGCTTCTGCGCCACGCCAGTGCCCAGGCCATAGAGCCGTCCACAGTACTTGGCGTCATCTATGCTGTCCTCAAAAAACAGCTGCAGAGCAGGACAGAGAACGTGGTGAGGGCAGCACAGGGCTAGCACAGGCCCAGCTGCACACTATGGGAACCCAGCAGGCCAGAACCCAACCTAGCAGAGAGCTCCCACCTGCCTCCCAGCCTGCCGTCTGTTCCTTCTCCAGGCACAAGCTGCTCCTGGCCGCACCCAGACCCCACTCGGACCCTTTCACACCCGCAGCTGCTGCCCCTTCTCTCATCCACAGCAGGCAACAGGCTCTGTGCTGACTCACTGGGTGACCCTGGGAGTCACTTCAGCTCTTCTGAGGGTTCCTCATGTGCCCCTCGTTTAAGGCTCCTTGTAGAAACAACTTTAACAGGATTGTTTGGAGGAATGAAAAATGAGTATTACACAGTGCCAAGGGCAGAGGCAATAGCTAGGTGGTCTATGCACCTGCCTGGCAAGCACAAATCCGAGCTCCGTCACTGGTACCGCATGCGGCGCCAACCCCGGAACTCCGGAGCAGTAGTGGCACATGCCTGTAATCTCAGTGCTAGGGAGGCTGAGACAGGAGATCACTACAAGTCTAAACTTCGTAGTGAGACCCTGTATCAAACACTGCCAAGCTGAGGGGCACTGAGAGGCTAAGGCAGAAGGATCAAGATTTGAACCCCACCTGTGCAACTTGGTGTTTTAGTAAGTCCTTGTCTCAAAATAACAAATATTAAAAAAAGGGCCGGGGACCTAGCTCAGTATGAAGGATCTGGGTTCAAACCTACAGACAGCCAAAGCCACACTATCTGTGAGCATTCCCACCTCAGCACCCACAGTTTTTTCTGGTGAGCCAAGCATGCTAATTCTTTACTTGGCAGGAGCTGCGCAATGAGTGTTTACCGGCTTCCCTGGCCAGGTGTACTCACCCTCCCCCCACCACTCTACAACCAAAACAGTCTCCAGACACTACCAGGTGTACTGCGGGGAGCACAAGCACACACCTTTGAGAACCACGGTCTTAAAACACTTGTTACTTTGGACCGTGAATGGCCTCCACACCTCCAAGGCCCTGTGCTGAAGATCACCAGCCTGGGCACTGCTGAGCGGTAGCAAGACAAGAAGATTGAAGGGCACGCACCTCAAGGGGCATGGGGACCTCAGCCCCATTTCCTTTCCTACTGATACACAGTGAAGAGACCTCCTCCTGTACTTGTTCCCCACCATGATCTGCCTCCCAAAGGCCCATAATCAAGGGAGCCCACTCGCTACAGCGAAACCTTGATGCCGAGAGCCAAAATAAGCTTTTCCTCCTTTTAGGTAAATTACCTCAGCCAGATATTTTGTCACAGTGACAAAAAACTGGTATCAAGAGAACAGGCCACTGCTGTGACAGCGCCTGACAGTGGGGTTCAGAAGCACTGGGAACAGCCTGTGGGACATGCTCAGAATTCTGAGGTGGATGGCAGGATGGAGCCTAGGACAGCACAAGAGGCGAAGTCCTGGTGGTGGCGGTGGCGGCACACTGAGCAGAATGCTGCTGAGTAAGCGGACAACAAAGGCTGTGCCGTGAGGCTGAAGGTGGAAGTGATGGCTACTGGCTCATTCGTGTTGCAGTCTATAAAAGAACTTGGCTACATTTTGAGCAGGCACGACTGTCCCACCAAGCAGGCTGTGCCACCAAAAGGACTGTCCCGTGCCAAATCAGAGCTGCCCGGCAGTGAGACATGTGCATCATGGCCCACCGTGAACACATAAAGGTGAAGGACTAGTCTAGCTGCAAAGGAAACTTCAAGGCAGCAGAGCTTTCAGGCAGTAGCAGGAGTATTAAGGAGTGATTTCTGCTAGGGTTCCACTGAGAATCTGAAGCCGGCCTGCAGGTACTTAGGACATGATTTCATGGGTACGCTTTCCCCAAGATGTCTTGTCTTTTCTTTCTCATTTTTTTTATTACAGTGTATTCTTTATTTCTGCAGGTTCTTGATAAAAAGCAGAATCTTGAATAAAAGCATATCATACCATTGTACTGAAAGGCAGCGTTACACAAGTAGAAACTGTCCTGATCCATCCACAGCAGGAAGCAATTTCCCTTCTCCCAGTAGCGTCGGTCACTCCCATCAGCTATGTATCTGAAGCCCAATCCCAGCTCTCATTTTTACTAACTTCTTTCACTGAAATGTTTGCTCACAGTTGTGCATGCACACACGCGTGTATGCGTACACAAAAGGGCTACTTAAGGGAGTAGCAATGATGCTCCAGAAAAGCAGCCCCAAGATGTCTTCACAACGGGGCCAGGTCTCTCCTGCAGAACCCTTACAGCCTACAGTGTCACTGCAGCTGACCACCCAGCTTGTCAAAGAGAAGCTCCCGGCCTGTGAGCCCGAGGACCTCGCTGCCTATGAGCAAAAACTTCAGGAGCGCCATGTGGCACGGATGCATTTGATATAGAAAGAGCAGGGGCAGAGGGAGAAAGCAAAGCAAGAGTACCAGGCCCAGAAAGCAGCCAAGGCAGCAGCCTAGCGCACACAGGCCAGCCTTGGGCGAGGACCTCCCACAGCCGCTGCAGCACTCAACAGGCACTGGGGGGGCCTCAACCTCTTCTCTCGAGTGGGTTTGTTTTGTTTTTTGTCTTTTTGAAATAGGGTTTCTCTGTGCAGTTCAGGCTGGCCTTGAACTCACTTTCTAGCCCAGGAGGACCTCGAATTCACAGCTATCCTTCTGCCTCAGCCTCAGGATAAGAGTGACCTCAAGACCAGGACCCCACCAGACTGCCAGTTTTAAGTAACCCCAAGATTTCAAAGGAAAGCCTGGAGCCCACAAAGGACATGTTGGGCTCAGGTCCCTAAGCAGCCCCCCACAGGGTGAAACATCAACTGACACATGACATCAGGATGCTGGAAGACAAAGCTGCGATGGAGACCAGGAAGTCAGAGCCCAGAAGATGAAACATCTGCCAAGGGCAGCCATAGGCAGCAAGCAAAACCGGCACAAGGGACGAGCGTGTGAGCCTCAGCCATGAGGGTGGGGCTGCCCCAGCCCTCTGAAGCTCATACTGTGCCACCATGTGCATAAGATGGTAGGTACAGTATGGGACTTCAGGTCTGTCCTGCTGGGTTTAGATTTTGCTTTAGTCTGATCCTTTTCTTTGTTCTTCTTTCTTATGTTGGCCACTGTATCTTGGATATAACATGTTTGTTAATTTCTTAAAATTTGTGCAGTACTGGGAATTAGATCCAGGCCCACACACATGCTAAGCTTACACTCTACTGCTGAGCCACATTCCCAGCACTTTTTTTTTCCTTGAGACAGGGTCTTATAAATTAGCCCAGGTTGGCTGCAATCCTCCTGCCTCGGCCTCCCAAGAAGCTGAGATTCCAGATGTGTACCACAAGGCCTGGCTGTTCTTTGGATTTTTAAAGGGGCTTTCAGCTAAGTTTGCCTTGAGTCTCAGAGGAGACTGCGGACTTGACTTTTAAGCAAAGTGGGAACTACTCAGACTTTAGACATTCTTGAGAACAGACCACATGCATGCTGCACTATGAGGTAGACATGGGCCTGTGGGAGACAGAGACAGCATGTTACAATTGTGATCTTAAATGTCCTCCCAAGGCCATGCGTTAAAGGCAAGGGTCACCTGCCTGTGGCACTACTGCGCAGTGGAGAGCCTCTGGAAGGCAAGGCCTGGCAGAGGGAAGTCAGGTCTAGCCCCGGAAGGGGCACTGGAGCCCAGTCCCTTCTCTCTGTGTCTGTTCCTCTCTCCACCTCTATCTCTGTTTCTGTTTTTTCTTCCTCCGCTCCCTGGCCACCATGGGGAAAAAGACACACACCACACAGTCCCTGCCGTGAGGTTCTGCCTCACCATAGGCACAAAGCGATGAGGTGCACAGGCCATGGATGGAAGCCTCTCAAACTGGGAGCCAAAATGAAGCTTATTACCTCAGGGTCTAGGCGAGGGAAGACTGAGGAATATGACATCTCAGCAGAGCACCATCAGCAACTGTGGCTTTGATGAAGAGGAGCAGAGGAAACCTACTGCCTCTTGCCACACTCGCTGTTCCCAAAGAAGCCCTTGTCTACACACAGATTTATCTGATGCATTCCCCAAGTGTTAATAAAATCTTCATTACATTCAAAGCAGTTTTCCACGCCCTCTCCCTCTCCAAATACATTTTAACACTTAAAGAGTAAATAAGAAACTAAGAGAAATTCAATCTTCATTAATGAGTTATAAGAAACTCACAAAGTAGTTAACAGAACTCAGCATAACATAAATGGGTGGTCTCACAAATGTGTTCCTATTCTATAAATTAAACCAAAGAATTGAAAAGATGACAGGGCCTAGCAAGGCCAAGCACCTGCACCTGCGCACACTCAGGAGCACAAAAGTATTTAATAGACCTCAGTGCTCGGCTTTGCCTTTCCAAGTGCATTTGCTGCACTGGCACACCCTAACAGACACTTTTCCAAGGGCCGGCCTGATAGCTCAGCAAACTAAAGCACCTGCTTAGGCAGAGCAGAGTGCAGCAGCTGTGGTTTGATCCACAGCATGCCATGCCAGACCCGCCCTGGGCGTGGTAGTACGTGACTGTAATCCCAGCGCTTGGGAAGGTGAAAACAGGAAAATCACTATGAGTCCAATTTACACAGTAAAACCCTGTAGACCCTATCCTAAATACAGAAAAAACAAACGACTTTCCAGGTAGCCCCTAAGTTCCAACAGACAATTACCAATATTCAGCAAACTTCAGCCCACAGACCACCTCCCGTCTTAGCCCTTAGCAAGTTATGTACCAAGCTAATTCTGGACAGCACATCTCTTTAGAGAGGCGCTCACATTTCATGGAGCTCACCTCCTTCATCCTGAAGAACGCCATTCCCGTCAGCAGCGAGTCTGAGCCTGCCTGGTGCTGCCTTCCAATTCTCTGCAAATCCAACTGATCAGCAACTTCCTGGAGACCTCCCTGGAGATGTACGGGAAAGAGCACATTACAGACGGTACCACTATGCTGGACTCAGCTAGGACCACGTGTGAGTTTGCTTCAGTGTGGCAGCAAGAAGCAGGACGGCCATTTATTTAAGGGCCTCAGATCCTCCTCTTCACCCTGAGTTCTTTCCTCCAAACACTTTTTGTGTGACTCTACTTTTTGCTCCTTTCTTACTAATTTCACCAGCCCTAACCCCTTTAAAATCAATGCTGAGGGGCTGGGGAGATGGTTCAGTGAAACAAGCGCTTTCCTGGCAAGTGCAAGGGCCAGAGTTCGATCCCTGGTTCTGAGAAAAAAAAAAAAAAAAATCAAGGCTGAGGGCCGGGGAGATGGCTCAGTGGAATAAGCGCTTCCCTGGCAAGTGCAAGGACCTGAGTTCAGTCCCCGGTTCTGCCAATAAAATAAATAATAAATCAAGGCTGAGGAAATGTTCAATGCCAATCCAATTCAGCAAGTCTATGTCAACAGTTCACTAGGAGGCTGGGCATGGTGGAGCGTGCCTGTAATCCTCGCAGCCTAGGAGACTGGGGCAACAGGCTCACATCACAAGCTTAGCCCCAGCCTAGGCAACCTAATGACTTATCAAGACACTAAATAAATAATAAAATGAAGGGTTAAGAGTACAGTCCAGAACAAAGGCCCTGGGTTCAATCCACAGTACACCACAGAGAAAAAAATCAGAAAGGTAGTTCTTTTTTTTCCAAGTTGCCAACTGTTTAACTGGCTTCATGGGCCTCAGGGGCAGAATGCTGCTTTGCAGTGAGAGAAACAGAGGTCTCCCTTCATCCTGTCACCTGTGCCACACCAACCTCCACGCCAACAAGCTCTGTTACACCCCGCCTGGCAGAGGTAGCACACAAGACTGCCCATTAAACACATAGCAATACAGCAAACTCTTTGCTTTGTAATTTATTTGCTAGTATCAAGAAAAAGTTATATACCTTAAGATTTTTGCAACTCTTCATCAGATATTTCACATCATAAATGGATGGGAAGAAAAGGTTCAGAATATGAAAGAATTCATGTTCTTCTTCTGGCAAGCGAGAATCTGTAAGCAACTTTACCATGTAGCCAAAATCATAGCCACTACAAGGAGAAAATGAAGCAGGGAGGTAAAAAAGCAGCAGTTACAGGCTTCTAGTGTTTACCACTTCATTTTTCACAGCATTTATATCCGAAACTTTTAGTCTTTCACCCTACTGTCATTTAAACTTTTCAGTAACAAAATATAATATGCTATTATGAGCAATATACATGAGGACAGAAACCTCTGTAAATGTGGACTAATTCACCAAAATCACAAGGTAGGGCCGGCGAGACAGCTCAGTGGTCTAAAGAGCTTGCTTAGGCAAGCTTAGGCAGGCGCAGGAGACCATGGTTCCATCCCAGCACCACATGCCACACCAGCCCCGCCCTCAGGGTGGGCTGAACCGGACCAAAAAAAAACCTGAAACTGAAACTGAAAAAAATCACAAGGTAAAATATCTGTTACAGTTTGTATATAGATGTCCCCCCTAAAGTATCACGTACTGCTAGGTGGGGCTTTGGGAGTGACTGCATTGTTGGTGTACAGTACTAGATTAGTTCACTGACTGGGTCAGCATAGTTCTAGGTGTGGACAATAAAGACCACCCTGGGTATATGAGGCACCAACCAATGGGCTTACAGCCTGGGTGGAATAGAAAGGGAAAGATGGGCGTGGGGGGGACCTTCGGCGCCTGCCAAATTCTACTCCAGCCAGCACCCAGGCCGGGCATGTGTGTAGGACCTTCCACCTGCTCACCAGAACCTCCTCATCACATAGGCCTATTGTGGAACCCTGCAGCAGAACTCCCTGCAGAGAGGCAAGGGGCGAGACACACCCAACTAATCCACGAGCAGAACATCTTGCCAGAGGGGAGCAGTGGGTTCACTTCCACAGGCTTTAGCAAGAAGCAGGGGAGCACAGCAGCCAGACCCAAGCCAGGCCCACCTGGACGAGTTTGAACTTGGTAGATCTGGACCTGGTAAGCTGAGACACTTTGCTAGACCCACATCTATGAGAGCATCCTCTCTCTCCCTCTCGCTCTCTCTCTCTCTGTCTGTCTGTCTGTCTGTCTTCATTGAGAGAGCAGGCAACAGGTAACCAGGGTGAACTAGTCTGCTTGAAAGACTACAGGTACAAAAGGGGAGGGGATCAGACAGAACTCGGGGGAACTAATTTCAGTATAAATTCCCAATCTAATATCTGCTTAGCTATACAGTCATAATGATTGATCTTAGGGTCTAAAATACAAACCTCTTAGAAAGGGGAGGAGGTAGGAAGTCTTGCCACCCGCTGCCGGTCACACCATGACTGCTTCTCCTTTGTGATGCCCCTCTACTACGCTGCACCCTGCCCTGGAGCCAACCAACCAACTACAGACTAAAACCTACACACTATGAGCTACCTTTCCTCTTCTAACTTTGAGTGTAGTGATTTTTTTTTTTTTTTTTAATGTATTTGGAACAGGGTCTCACTACTTGCACTTGCCTAAGCAGGCACTTAGTCTGCTGAGTTATCTCTCCAGCCTGGGGTGTAGGGTATTTTGTTCTATCAATGAGAAAGTAACTTCAACAATCACCCAAAGGAAATCTGCCTTCTGAGTACTTTGAAGTGCCGGACAAGTTAAAAGACAACCATTCTGGGCTGTGGAGATAGCTTGGCAATCTAAGCACCTGCCTGGCAAGTGCAAGGACTGGGGTTCAATCCCTGGTACCGCATGCTGTGCCGGCCCCATGCAGAGCCAGCCACCGAAACCAGGCACTGTAGTGTATACCTATAATCCCAGCACTGAGGAGGTTGAGACAGGAAGATCATTACAAATCCAAGTTGCATAGCGAGGCCCTGTACCAAATAAATAAGATTTTTTTTTTAATATGTTCTTGATTTATTTGATATTTTCAGTGTCCAGCACAGCACAGGGTCTGTACAGCATGTGGTACCCGGGATCGAGCCCCAGTCCTTGCACTTGCCAGGCAGGTGCTTAGACCTCTGAGCTATCCCCCCAGCCCATAAATAAGATTTTTTAAAAAGACAACCATCCTCCAACTCTACACTTGCAATTAGTCACTGAGAGCCACATGATGAGCTCAGTACTCTGTGCAACAAACTAGCATGGGTAACAAAGGGTTTTAAGAGCAACAGGTATCACTTTCAGCTTCGAACCACTGTTACAACTAGAAAAGAGCCAACAGGACTGCAAAAACAGTACTCAATACCCTGCTTGCACACAGCCCAAAGTGAAGGAAACAGACAGACACTGTCTGGGACTGACCTGTGAAAGGAAAGCCATTTGACATTGTCACAAAGAACCACTCCTGATGTCATAAGGAGCTCTGCGAAGTGCAGTGTGTCGATGCCTTCTTCTTCATGCTTCTGAAACTGCAGCCCTGAGTTAGCGAGGAGGTCTATGGAGTCCTGGGAGTACATGTCCTCTCTAAAAAACAGTAAGCTCATTTACTAGCTGGTAGATGGCGAAAAAGAAGTAGCAGGCACCATCACTTTATAAATGCAGTACAAGTATTCTCGAAATGCTTGTCACAATTAAAAACACACCAACAGGGAGGGGAAAGACAGGCTGATGGGAGGGTACAGGAATGGGGGGGAAGAACCAAATGATCATGTACACGTACAACTCCCCACAATGAATGTGATCATTATATGTACACAGAATATACCAATAAACTTAATTTTAAAATGATTAATAAACTACACTAATTATACTTACTATATATGATTTTACTATATATTTACTAATTATATTAATAATTATAGTTATGATTATAATTATAAAATTTACTAAAGATATATTAATTCATTCTTCCCTGTATTCCAGCAAGATAATCTTGTTTCTGTGATCAATGGAAAAAATGGGACATCTCCCCAGACTAAATTTCCCAATTATAGGGCCAGCAAGATAGCTCAACAGACTAAGCTCCTGCTTTGGCAAGCTCAGGGACTAGGGTTCAATCCCCGGCAACACAGGCCGCTCTGGCCCCACTTTCGGGCCTGCTGAGCCAGCCACTGAGACTGACCCAGGGCTGGGCATGATGGCACACAACTGTAACCCTAGCGCTGGGGAGGCTGAAAACAGGAAAGGATCACTACAAGTCCGAGCTGTGTAGTGAGACCTTGTACCAAATACATAAATTTCCCAATTATAAAAGATCCAAATTTTCTCACTGTTAAAATTAACCAGTATTAACAAAAATATTAAGATAGAAAAAATTTTCGGGCTGGTGAGATGGCTCAGTGGTCTAAAGCACCTACTTAGAACAAGCTAAGCCAAGCAAAGCACAGGGACCGCTGTTCAATCCCCCAGCACCACATGCCAGCCAGCCCCGCCCCCTGGTGGGCTGAGCTAGCCACACACAAAAATAAATAAATAAATAAATAATTTAAAAAAGAAAAAAAAGAAAAAATTTTCAATTAATACATTACTGTTCATGCACTGCTACCCGCAGGAACAGCTCCTTTCCAGTCTATTTTCTCTACCTACGCTTAACTTCACACATCCCAGCATCTATATGTCACAGGTTATCTTTCCAAATCAATGCTACAATAGGACATCCTTTGTAATTCTGACATAATACTGCACTACAAAGATATGGCCAGCAATTTAACCCACCCCCACCCACCTGGACCACCACTGTGGTGCATGCATGACTGTCGCATCGGGCAGCTCGTATCGCCCATGGTTCAAAGCACCCAGCAGCAGGGTGGCTGCTGTAATTCATGTTCAGCAGACATGAATTACAGCCCTTTGGCAAATGTGTTAAATACATGAATATGTATGCATAATACCACTGACACAAAACTAGAGAAATAAGTCAAACAGCTCTTTTCCCACTAGATTTCCCAATTTTATTTTTCAAACATACTGGAGTTAAAGAATCAGAAAGACTGGGGCCAGGGAGATGGCTCAGTGGAATTAGCACTTCCCTGACAAGTGCAAGATCCTGAGTTCAATCCCTGATTCCTCAAAAAAAAAAAAAAAAAAAAAAGAATCAGAAAGATTATCTCATTTTCAAAACATTCAGATCATCTCTCAAAATTACCTGAACACCAGATTTCCAAAACATACGAAGTCAAAAAACTATTCCTAGCCAAGTAATGTGGCACACACCTGTAACTGCAGCACTCAGAGGACTGTTGCACGTTCAAGACCAGCCTGGGCTACAAAGTGAGCTCAAGTCTAGCCTGAACTGTATAGCAAGACCCTGTCTCAAAAAGATAAAAAAATAAAAATTATTCCTGAGGTATCAAAGGATCCTGCTGCTAAATCAAACAAGCCAATATTGACCCAGGTGGACCGGCCAGATAGCTCAATGGAGTACAGCGTCTGCTCCTGGCATGCAGCACCAGCCCCGGCCCTGGGGCACACTGACACAGAGACTGAGACTGGATGTGGTGGTGCACATCTGTAACCGCGTGTGGGAGGCTGAAAACAGGAGGATCACTACGAGTCTGATCTACATAGTGAGACCCTGGAGAGCCTATAGACCCTGTCCTCATACACAAAAAAAGAAAAAATATATATTGAGCCAGGTGTGGTGGTTCACGCCGGTAACCCCAGCACTCAGGAGGCTGAAACAGGAAGACCGACATGAGTTTGAGGCCAGCATGGACTACGTGGTAAGTTCAAGAGCAGCCTAAACTACATAGCAAGACCCTGTCTCAAAATCAAACAAAAAAGGAATATAGTACCCAATACAAAATACAGTACACACCATCTCATGCAATCATTTGAGTCTCCTCCATATTTTCTTTTCTTTTTTTCTTTTCTTTTTTTTTTTTTTTTTTTTTTTTTTTTTTGTGCAACCAGGGATTGAACTCAGGCCCTTGCGCTTGCCAGGCAAGCTCTTATTCCACTGAGCCATCTCCCTGGCCCCCTCTTCATATTTTCTTTCTTTGTTTTGTGGTACCAAGGATAGAACTCAAGGCCTTGCACTTGCCAGGCAGGCACTTATGCCACTGAGCTATCTCCCCAGCCCCCTCCTCCATACTTTCTACATTAAAAAAATTACATCTCAAATCAGAATTATCAGTGCCTGCGAGATAGCTCAGTGGACTAAAGTGCCTGCTTAGGCAAGCGCAGGGACCGCAGTTTGATCCCCGGCACCACCTGCCATGCCAGCCATCCCACTAGGGAGGGCTGAATGGGCCAAAATCTGGGCATAGTGGTACACCCCTGTAATCCTAGCACCAGGGAGGCTGAAAGCAGGAGGGTCACCACAAGTCCAAACAGCGTAGTGAGACCATGCAACAACCAAATACTTTTAAAAAATAAAATAAAATAAATCAGAACTATCATAGAGGGGCTGGGGAGATGGCTCAGTGGAATAAGCACTGCCCTGGCAAGCGCAAGAGCCTGAATTCAATCCCCAGTTCTAGAAAAAAAAAAGAACTATCATAGAACCAGCAATGCCACAGCTGCATATACTCCCCAAAGAACTGAGGGCAGGATCTCAAAACAAGATGTGCACACCCTGCCACAGCAACACTATTCACAACAACCAATAGGCAGCAGACACCCAAGGGTGCACTGCTAGATACACAAAACAAGCCACTTGTATAATGAAAGGCTGAACCACGAAGGGAAGCGAATCCATCCACATGCTGCAGCACAAGGAAACGTTAAAATAGTGAAATAAACCAGTCAAGATAAAAACAATGATGACTCCACTTGTATCAGGTATCAACAAGTGGTTAAATTATTACAGAAACAAAGTACAAAGGTGGTTATCAAGCGCTGGGGGGAAGAAGAGGCTAATAAATGTAAAGTTTCAATCTTTTGTTGAGGTTTTTTGGTTTTTTTTTTTTTCCAGTTTTTTGGTTTTTTTTTTTTCCAGTTCAAACTGGACTTAATGGGGCCGGGGAGATGGCTCAGTGGAATAAGCACTTCCCTGGCAAACAAAAGGGCCTCAGTTCAATCCCTGGTTCCGCAAAAAAAAAAAACCAAAAACTGGATTTAAACTCTCTAAGTGCTGAGGTTACAGAAATATGCCAGGGTTTCAGTTCTGTCCAAAGAAAGAGTCCTAGAAATCTGTTTTACAAGCTAGGCATGGAGGCACACAACAGGAATGATGAGGCAGGAGTATCACAAGTTCAAGGCCATGGGGCTGGTGAGATGGCTCAGTGGTCTAAAGCACCTACTTAGAACAAACTTAGCAAAGCGCAGGGACCGCGGTTCAATTCCCCAGCACCACATGCCAGCCTGCCCCGCCCCCTGGTGGGCTGAGCTGGCCACACATACACACACACACACATAAATAAATAAATAAAATTTAAAAAAAAAAAAAAAAAAAGTTCAAGGCCAGTTTAGGCAACTCAGCCAGACCCTGTCTTTGGGGAAGGGGGCATGAGAACATAGCTCAGTGGTAAAGCACTCGCCTAGCATGCACATGGCCCTGGATGCAGTCCCCAGGAAAACCATGGGGCAGGGGCGGGGGGAGAGGAGGGAGAAGGGAAGAAAGAGGAAAGGAAGGAAGGGAGGAAGAGGGAAGGAGAGGGAAGAAACTGCAGTCTGCATGAGGACCTACGGACGCCACTGAGTCTCAGCTACTTACGTAAGATTGAATTTGAAGTTGAACTGCCAAGTGTTGATTCCAGAAGGGTACTCTCCCTTCTCGTTTGTGAACGTAAGGCCCAGCTGGATAATTTTTAAAAGGTCAACATTGCACCTCAGAAGCTGATACTGGTAATCTATGGAGCTACGAAATTCACCAATTGGTCGTACCACAACACCTGGAAATTCTGTGTCCTGGAAAAGGAGAAAGTCTAGAGTTATAAGCAGGGCTGGCGAAACTTTCAGAGCTTCAGTGATACGAACAGCACACTGCAGCATGCACGCTCTAAGGTCGACACTACTGTTGTAAGGTTTCACAAAATGGGACTCATTTTGTGAAGTAATAAATAATTTTTTATCTCAATTTATAAAAATTACCTGGTAAGACCTATGCTTGGACACAAAAACCTCTTAAAATAATGACTGTGTTGGGGCCAGCGAGATAGCTCAGCAGTCTAAAGCGCCTGCTTAGGTAAGCTTTGGCAGCCGTGCAGATTGATCTCTGGCAACACATGCCACGCCAGACCAGTTCTCAGGGTGGGCAGAGCCAGCAAAAAAATAGTAATAATGACTGTGTTGACATCTACTGAAGAAGTGCTTTGCATGACTCAAGAACTAAAAGAGTTGGGGCTGGTGAGATGGCTCAGTGGTCTAAAGCACCTACTTGGAACAAGCGTGGCAAAGCACAGGGACTGCGGTTCGATCCCCCAGCACCACATGCCAGCCAGCCCCGCCCCCTGGTGGGCTGAGCTGGCGCCACACACACACACAATAAATAAATAAATAAATGTTTAAAAAAAAAAAAAAAAGAACTAAAAGAGTTGAATGACTGTAGGTAGACATGCAATCAAGAAAATTCTGAAAGTCACATTCAGCTTGAGTGAAAAGACTGGACAAATATCACAGTCATGAACGCTGAGCCAATGACTTGATGCTATCGTCCCTAAAGCAAATTCTCAAACTACAAGCTACAATGTAAAGGAATAAAGCAAACTAGCTACCCAAATGGTGACAAGTCACAGGTGCTGGAGAAAAAATGAAGAGCATGTCTCTCTCGGGGCTGGGGGAGACAGGAGGGAGAAGAGAAGGATGGCTCAAGAAGCAGGATGTGTAGGTAACAATACTCCATAATTAATGTATGTACTACGTATCGCCAATATACGCTAAGAAAAAGGGGAAGAGTCTTTTTTAAAAAAGAACACATCCTTCAGTACAGGAGCCTACTGCCAAAATACACCTCTTGCTCTCTAACCACTGATGGCTGGTGGGAACTGTGTGCCACACCGTGCCACATTTTCCCATTTGTTCCACAGATGCCACAAACCTGCAATCTAAGTGAGGTCTCATTTCTTTCTTTCTTTTTTTTTTTGAGACAGGGTCTCACTTTGTAGTTCAGGCTGGCCTTGAACTCACTATGTTGACCCGGCTGGCATCAAACTTGGGACAATCTTCCAGCCTCAGCCTCCCAAGTGTTGGGATAACAGGCATGTGGCACCACAACCAGCCCATGAATTTTAAATGCTGGCAATCTTTGGCTAAACTTCTAAATACACTGTATAATTAAATTCACCGTATTAGTGGTACATATGCACCTTATTACTGACACAATTTCCGCTTTTAAGATTTTCTTTCTTCTTTCTTTCTTTTTTGGGGGGCAGCGTCATAAGCTCACTTTATAGCCCAGACTGGCTTCAAACCTACAACAATCCTTCTGCCTCAACCTCACAAGAGCTGGGATTAGAGGCATGAGCTACTATACCTGCCAACTTAAGATTTTAGAACAGGGCTCAGGATATAGAGGCAGAACACTTGCCTAGCAGGTGTGACTGGATTGGATCCCAAGCACCACCAAACAAAAAAAGAGCAAACAATAACATTACAAAGAATCTAAGATACTAGAAGTTACATACCACCTTCCTCAGAAACTTTTTTTTTTTAATGTATTTCGTGCAGGGTCTCATTACATAGCTCAGACTCATAGTGATCCTCATATTTCCAACCCTCCCAGCACTGGGACCATAGGTGGGCACCACCATGCCCTGACTCACCATACCTGGGGGTGGGGCCAGCAAGGCATGTGGTACCAGGGATTAAACCCTGCTCCCTGCACCTTCCTAAGCAGGCACTTAGTCCGCTAGCTATGGCACCTGCCCTGAGACTAGCTATCTTTTTTTTTCCCCCTGTATTTTTAGGGAAGGGTCTACAGGGTGTTCAGAGTCTCACTGCTAGATCGGACTCATAGTGATTCTCCTGTGTATAGCCTCCCAAGTGCTGGGGTTACAGGCTTGCACCACCACATTCAGTCTCAATCACTATCTCAGTGTACAGGGGGACGGGGCCAGCACAGCAGGCCTGGGATCAAACTCCCAGGCCCTGCTTGCAGGCGCTTTAATCCGTTGAGCTACTTGGCTGGCCCTAGCTATGTTGATGCTTCAAAAAACACAAACTTTCATCAGCTTTAACTTACTGGAACACAATTAGTTCTTCTCAAAAATCTTACATGAGGGCTGGGTGAGATGGCTCAGTGGTCTAAAGCACCTACTTAGAACACGCAAAGCAAAGTACAGGGACTGCGGTTCAATCCCCCAGCACCACATGCCAGTCAGCCCCGCCCCCTGGTGGGCTGAGCTGGCCACACACACACAAAAATAAATAAATAAATACACTATTTAAATAAATAAATAAATAAATAAAAAATCTTACATGAAACATTAAGCCCACATGAAAAAATGAGTCAAACAGAATAGAGCTCCTTACCATGGCAATATAACTGTAACTGAGCACAATTTCTCGGATTTTCCTCATCTCTTCTTCTAGATTGCTTGCCCAGACTTCACAGATAACCTGGCTATTCTCCACAAGTGCTGCAGGCATCCTGAAGAAACCTCAGAAGTCGCGTTTAGGTACTAAGTCAAGGTATGACAATGTTCTGATCACCAATGATTATCTGATCTACATTTAAAAACATATTTGAAATTACGTAAGTACACAATGACATAGGATACCAAAAAAATAAAGACAAAACATTTGTTTTCAAAATATTTTATCACTGACAGAATAATAAGACAGATAGGAGCTGAAGAGCTGAGAGCAATAGCTGAGCCCAGGGAGGAAGTCCTGCAACTGAATATAGGGGGTGGTTTGCGTCCAGATGTCCACAAAAGCCTCATGAGATCAAAGGGCTTTTTCAGAGGTGGCTGAATCTGTGATCCTGGGATTAAGGCTGTGTAATTAATAAATCAACCCACTGATCAGTCTGGCACAGTTAGGACTAGGACTAAGGGTGAGTGCCACACCCGCCCTAGAGTGGGTAGCCAGCATACGACATAAGGGACAGGTCTTATCTTCCTCTCCTGCTGCTTTTGCTGTCTTCTGCACTGTGAATGGCTGCCACTCTGCCACACAGCCAACCAACTATGGACTGAAACCTCCACAAACTGAGCTAAGTAAACCTTTCCTCCCTTATCTTGGTGCCTCACACTGGGGTCCAATGTGTGGAGGCCTGAGGCGCCCTCCATTCTGACCCTCTCTGAGCTAGCTGAGCTATTTAGGCCTCGTTCACATATATTTGCATTGTGGTTCTGACCCCTGCTCACAGGGGATCTGGCCACCAGGTTCATTCCTGCCAAGACTCCCCCTCCCAACCTGAGGGTGCAGCTCCCACCCCACTCTGCCTGGTAAAAGCCCCATGGGCTACAACTCCAGCCACTCCTCCCCCAAATCTGAGGGAAAACAAAAGGTAAACCAACCATGCACACCACTGCAGTTGTAACCTCCGGTGCTGCCTGCCTTGGAGCCTCCCAAGTGTACTGTCCTCACCAATAAACTACCCCCACTCTGCACCCCAGGCCTTTCCCCAGCTGTGAGGTGGGTATCTCCCAGGTGTACTATGCCTATCACAGACAGCTGCCCCTCTGGCACTGCTCTTTCTCCCTTCTTGAGATGTACACTGTCCCAAATCAAGCACTTGCTCAGTATCACACTTGGCTTCCTGAACCCACAACTTTTTTTTTTTTTAATTTTATTTGTGTGTGTGTGTGTGTGTGTGTGTGTGTGTGTGTGTGTGTGTGGCCAGCTCAGCCCACCAGGGGGCGGGGCTGGCTGGCATGTGGTGCTGGGGGATTGAACCGTGGTCCCCGGGCCCCGGGCTTCCTTAAGCTTGTTCCAAGTAGGTGCTCCAGACCACTGAGCCATCTCACCAGCCCCACCCACAACTTCTGACTGAGTTTCCTTCCAGGGAAAATCCTAAGGGGATCCAAGAATCAAGACCAGCCTCCTAATGCAGACACAACACAAGCTACCAGGCCAGGCAGACCCAGAAACCCAGTAACAAACGTTGTAATTGCTATATTTTCTCTCCATTCTACGTGATATGTCAAGACAGACATGAAAAAACTAAAAAAAAATGCTGGAGAAAGTTTTGCCCAAGTAACCTGCACACAGAAGGGAAAACTACCCTAAACCCGTTTTCAGCCCTCTGCAGACTACCTGAAGACTAAAATCATTTCCTTTGACTACAAGTATGCTCTTATCCATGACTTTTGTATCACTTTACATGAAGACCAAATGGTGGAAATATTTCTAGATATTGTTGCTGCTCACTTTTGCTGCTCGAAATGTACCTGGGATCTCTGGAAGCCTGAAATAGCATAAACCTAAACTCTGACACACAAGTCTTTACACCCATGATGAGGAAGGCACAGGACGCCCCCAAAGGAGATTCTTTTCTACACAATCCAACACTCAAATAGAACTGGAGACCATTACCTGACTACAGTGCCTCTAGATTTTTGGAAGTAGATTATGAGGTGAAATGTTTCAGTGGTAGAGAGCAATTCCATTTGTTAATTTGAATTCTTAACAACCATAATGAAAATAAGAATTTAAGTTATTAACATCTACTTTTAAGTATGTAAGTATTATAGAGACTTTAACAGCAATTCTACAAGAACCGAAATGATGGCCAGGTGTGGTGGCACATGCCTGTAATCTCAGCACTCAAGGGGCTGAGGCACGACGATCTCTGGGAGTTCGAGGCCAGCCTTCACTACATAATGAGTGCAAGGTCAGACTGAACTACACAAGGAGGCCCTGTCTAAAAAATAATAATAATAAAAGATTGGTAAATGCATGAGAATGTGGAATGAAACAAGACTGTCATTCTCAAATTGTCAAGAGACGTTAAAGATTTTATTTATTCAAGATATCTTGATTAATAAATAAGATTGTGTGGCATCTCCCCAACAAACACAGACAGAAATTTTTCTATTTTTTGGTCTTTTTTTTTGGGGGGGGGGGACAGAACTGGGGATTGAACTCAGGCCCTTGTCAGGCAAGTGCTTATTCTACTAAGCTATCTCCCCAGCCCGTTTTTTGGTCTTTTTGAGGCAGGGTTTCTCATTATGCAGGTCAGGCTTCCCTTGAACTCTGGCCCAGGCTGGCCTGGAACTAGCACTGGTCCTCCTAACTCAGTCTCCCCAGTGCTGGGATGACAGGCCTGCACCACCATACCTGCCCTTTCTATTTTATTTTGTTTTGTTTTTCTGTTGAGGTCTTTTGACATACGGTCTTGCTCTGTAGTTCAGGCTGGCCTTGAAATCACTATGTAGTCCAGGCTGGCCTGGAACACAGAGCAATCCTCCTGCCTCAGCCTCCTCAAGTACTGGGATTATAAACATGTCCACCAGGATCAGCAGAAATTCCTCTATGGCAGAATTTCTCTCCTGCCTCAGC